CCTGTCACGCCTGTCCGTACTCGTCGTGCTGTACTTCCTCGTCCTCGACATGTCCCTGGCACGCACATCATGGCACTTCGTCCTTCCTCTGTTCCACAGCGCGTTGTCCTGCCGTCGCATCCCGCGTCTTCTCTTCCTCACGTTCCTGACCCTCCGTCTGACCTTGTCCGTACTGCCAGTCCAACTATCACTCGTCTTCTTGCCACGGTTGTGACTGGCCCTTCCTTTGAGTCTGCTGCTGCGTCTGCCTTAGTTGCTGAGCTTGTTGACTTTGCTGCTCTGTGCCGCCTTGACTACGCTGCAAGTCTTGTTTTTTACTCTTCATGTCCTCCGTCCGTCAGGGGTGCCCTTGGTTGTGACGTCCTTGAGGACAGGCAGTTTGGGCTGGAGTGCCTAGCGGCCGCTGCACCTCATCTCACGTCCACGCTACTTTGCCTTGAGGGAGACCCGGATGCACTGGACATCCCGACCCCGCGTTCTTACGAAGACGCGATCACGGGTCCGTACTCCTCTCAGTGGCAGATAGCCATGGACGCAGAGATGGCTTCCTGGAAGTCCACAGGCACCTACGTCGACGCATTCCCCCACCTGGGGCGAACATAGTCGATGGCATGTGGATTTTCAGGGTGAAGCGGCCAACAGGTTCTCCGCCTGCCTTCAAGGTGCGTTACGTGGCACGAGGCTTCAGTCAGCGTGAGGGGGTCGACTTCTTCCATACCTTCTCACCCACCCCGAAGATGACCACTCTTCGGGTGCTACTGCACGTTGCAGCACTGCGTGACTACGAGCTGAACTCCCTCGACTTCTCGACAGCCTTCTTGCAGGGTAGCCTTCACGAGGCTATCTGGTTGCGCCGCCCACCTGGCTTCACTAGGTCGTTTCCTGAGGGTACACAGTGGAGCCTCCGGCGGCCAGTGTACGGTTTGCGTCAGGCGCCCTGTGAGTGGCACGACACACTGAGGACTACACTTGCGGCTCTTGGTTTTGCTCCCTCGACTGCTGACCCTTCGCTGTTTCTGCGCACAGACACTTCTTTGCCGCTGTTTTACATTCTCGTGTACGTCGACGACCTGGTTTTTGCTACTGCTGACACTGAGGCACTGGCCCTAGTGAAGGCGGAGCTGCAGGAGAGACACCCTGCACTGACCTTGGTGAGCTGTGGAGCTATCTTGGCTTGCAAATCACCCGGGACAGAGCACGGCGCACCATCACCCTGACGCAGTCACACATGGTGCAGCAGGTCCTTCAGCGCTTCGGCTTCTCGTGGTCCTCGCCACAGCCCACTCCTCTGCCTACATGCCACTCGCTCTCAGCTCCACCTTCGGACGAGTCCGTAGAGCCGAGTGGTCCGTATCCAGAGCTTGTGTGTTGCCTCATGTACCTGATGACGTGCACACGACGTGACCTCGCGTACCCTCTCAGCCTCCTGGCTCGCTACGTGGCTCCCGGTAGACACCGGAAGGTGCACTGGGAAGCTGCTAAGAGGGTACTGCGTTACTTGTGCAGTACATCGGGCATGGGGCTTGTGCTTGGAGGACAGAGTTCAGTTGTTCTCACCGGTCACTCAGACGCTTCTTGGGCTGACGACCAGACGACTCACCGGTCGACACAGGGGTACAGTTTCAGCCTCGGCACTGGTCCTGTCTCGTGGAGGTCCACTCGCTCGTCTTCTGTACTTATTTCCAGCTGTAAGGCCGAGATCTACGCTGGGGCTATGGCGACACAGGAGCTCCGCTGGCTGACCTACCTGCTGACCGACTTGGGTGAGCGGCCTCATTCTCCTCCAGTTCTGTACGTCGACAACAAGGCCATGATTGCCTTGTGTCAGGACCAGAGACTGGAGCACAGAACGAAGCACATTGCTCTTCGTTACTTCCTCACGCGAGAGTTGCAGCATCGTGGTCTGCTTCGTCTTGCTTACGTGGCCACACAGGCCAAGACTGCTGATGTCTCAACCAAGGCCCTTGGGTCTGGTGATCATCAGCGTTTCTGCACTGCTCTTGGACTTGTGCCCACTCTGCCTCACCTGCTTGTCTCTTGATCTTGCCTCGCCCTTGTTGTACACTGATATATATGAGTATACCTGCATGCGTACACTTGCTAGGTTGTGATCAGTGTGCTGCTCTTGCTATTATAAACTTTGCATGTGAACTTGCCTTATGGCCACTTACTTGTGCTCGGAATGCGTGGTGATCTTGAGATCCACCCTGAGCTTTGCTTTGCTTTTCTTCTTCTCTTGACTGGTCTTGCGACCACTGCTTGCTCTGGCTATCCCCCACTTCGCCTATGGGGGTGTGTCAAAACATATGTGTGTATGTTTGCTTAGGCTGTAGTGGGTTTAGCCTTAGGGGGTACAACACTTCTCTCCACTTTGTACTTGTACCCCCCTTTGACCTAATGCAATCATTCATTCCTAGTTTGACACGAGTGTCACTTGAGCGCAGGTGGGTCATGAGATCAGCAGCAGTGGGAAAGTCGGACAGATCAGGAAAGAGAAATGGCGGCAGAAGACGGCCTAGGGAGGCAGAGGAAGGGGGGGAGTAGCGCTTCACTACAACGTCATAGAGTGCTTTGGAAGTTTTCAGCTGGCGAAAATGGGGCCTCTGGTCGGGCGGGAGGTGGTTGCGGACTGCAAGCACGGGAGTGGCGTCGCGTGCTAACCACATGGTACTAGCCGCGCGGTCAGCCTTATACTGCTGCTGTGCGTCTGCTGGCACAGTAGAGTCAAGTGCAGTCGCAGTGGGCGGGGCCGGAAGGGGCCCCGACGTGTGCTCAAAAGGCGTGACATTGTCCCTGGTAACGCTAAGCAGTTACAGGTGAAGGTCCTCTAGCCAGGACTCGTACTAGATCGAACTACCCTCGGCGTCAAACATCAATACAGTGGGTGTTGCCATAGGGAGCAGTGCGGCCTAGCGGCAGTGACGAAGGGGCAGTAGTAGTAGCAGTGCTAGGCCCGAGCAGCGTGGCTCGGCAGGGCGGCTCGGCGGCGCGGTTCGGCAGGGCGGCTCGGCGCAGCAGTGCAGGGCAGTGCGAGCTGCAGCGCGGGCGGCAGCGCGGGCAGCAGCAGTGTGCAGCGCGCGCGGCAAAAAAAAAAAAAAAAAAAAAAAAAAAAAAAAGACGGGGCAGAGCGGAAGCGCGAGCGGCAACGCAGCAGCGCGAGCGGGCGGTTGCTGGCGGCAGCGCGCGCGGGGCAGTGTGTGTGGGGCCGTGCGGCAAAGCAGGACGGGCGAGGCAGCGCAGGCAGTGCATGTGGGGTCGCGCGGCAGGGCAGAGCAGCGCGACAGCGCGCGGGCTGGGCAGGGCAGGGCACGGTGCGAGCGCAGGGCAGGGCAGCGGTCGCGCAGCAGGGTAGCGCGGGCGGCGGCTAGGCAGCGCAACAGCGCGCGGGGCAGGGCAGGGCAGCACGACAGTGCGCGGGCTGGGCAGGGCAAGGCACGGCGCGAGCGCAGGGCAGGGCAGCGCGACAGCGCGGGGCAGGGCAGCGCGCGACGGCAGCAGCACCTTGGGCAGAGCTAACGGTGGGCCCTAAAAAAAACCGGTCCTACATTTGAACCTGCTCTAAAACCATGTCAAAACTAGAACAACGGAATGGATTGGACTAGGAACAATGAGATACAAGTAGGAAACCCTATTTGGGTTGTACCCTCTAGAGTGCACCTCACTGTAGCCTACAACATAACAAATGTATATTTTGACACTTCATACTCGGCAGCGTTGGCTCTTGTTGCATACAGAAATGTATTCTCATACAACCCATATCGCAACATCCGAAAGTAGGAATTGTACACGTATAGAGTGCCCGAGTAAGGAATTAAGAATTTCCTTACATAAATAAACACTCCCTCTTCTTTCGCTTCTTCATTTTATTTTCATATAAACCTATTTCCATGACGTTAATTATATATAAACACTAATATATGATATATTTCTGACATCCAGGGTCGTAGTCGGTTGGTGGAAATCCTATAATTCCGCATATATATATATATATGGATTTTCCTTCTTTAATGAGAAAACAAGGATGATGTAAAGCACACCGTGTTCCCCTACACCAACACATCTCTGATGGGGTCCTATGCAGAGTTTCATCCTCGACTTAGTAGATTCCATGTTTCTGTATTTGATAGATCAAGGGGGTTAACATGGTGTTGTATGATATTGGAAACAGCGACTATCCAATTTGTGATAGCCTTGTGCCAACTAGCTGCCCGCGCCGTGTTGCGAGCAAGGAAGCTGCCGCAAATCAAGCCACCGCCCGCCCACCAGCCGGCCGCGTCGCACACGTACATGGCGAGGCGATAGGCTGGAGTGTGCGCCACGTCAAAACAGCCATTCCACGTCCCCTCTCTCAGGTTCCGAACGGATGCTGATTGGGGGCGAGGTCCTTGGGTTGCGGGGAGGAGCCAATTTGTGAAGGGAAACCCACGGCCCTCTTGGTTGCTGCGGATCCGCTGCCAGAAACACCTCATAAGCCAAAGCAAAATTTCAGGTTAGACCGCGTCTCCGCGTGGTTGGTTGCGCTGCCAGATAAGCGCATATCTGCCTGCCTCACACCCCATTGGCGGAGCAATTTTTTCAGTGTGCAATTTTGTAGCGCGGCGAGCTTTGTTACCAGAAGAACTGGTCCTTTGTCTGGCCCCTGGGGCAGCAAGGACGACTGCTCGTACGTACGTACGCATGTGGCAGGGCATAAACAAGGTTTCAAGCATGCTAGATTTCAGGTGTTTTACTGTAACCCCAGACACAGTCTGTGAGAACAAAAGAATTCGCCCCACTCCGTCACACATGTCCTCTTAGCTCAGTTGAGGCTGCTCCCTCGATACCCTCATGTTGTGAGAGACTGCGAATGGAAAAGGCCGCCTCCATTGGGAAGTACGAGTCTCCGAAGCCGAAGCCTAGTCCTTGTCCTAACCCACCCCTCGCCGCTCCCTATTCCAACTTCCGTTCGCAAGCTGCCACACGACTTGCCTGCGGTACCAAGCAACTGAGTTAATTTCACCATGGTCGAACGGAGGAGAGACTCGTGCCGGCCAGAGCGGCAACAGCACAACACCGAGACACACTCAACCGAATGCACTGCCTCTTATTTCCCCAGAACCACGTCCTACAAGACGCGCTTCGGCTTGAAGCCCAACACGCTTCGAGCCGTCATCCCGTTGGCGCTAGTCGTCGTGGGTAGCGCCGTGGCGCTGTGGTCGCTGGGCCTGTCGTTCAGGAGCGCGCTCCTCAACATCCAGCCGGTCGCATCGCGCATCGGGAGCTCCGCGTTCGATGCCGACGGGACAATCGGCGCCACTGGGGGGAGCGAGCTGAATGCGCTATCGGCCGACCAGCTAGCCATCGCGCTCAGTCTTAGGCAGCTGGGGAAACCGCGGGAGTCAGTAAGCGTAACGCGCCGTGCTGACGACGAGACCCCCGGTGGTAGTAACGCTCAGGACGCGGAGGCGGGAGCTTCGGCGCGAGCGGCCGATAATGTGGCGACGCGCGGAGACGAAGGGGCTCAAGGAGAAGTAATGGAAGTTGTTGTGGAGCAGGGGGAGGTGGTTACCGCTGCTGCTGGTGGGATAGCAGAAGGGACGGGAAGAGCGACGGGAGCAGAGATTGAAGGGGACACGCACGCGGAGGAGCAGCAGGAGGAGGGCGAGAGCGGGGAAGTGGGTGGCGCAGCGGACGATGCTGCGGAGCCTGTCGAGTACCGCCCGCCCACCATTATCGGTAAACTACCTAAGCCGGGCTCGCGACGAGCAGTAGCGCTGCGCAACATTCTTCAGTTTGACATCGTCGCCGCCAACTCTACGGCCGGCGGCGACCGCTCCAAGGCGAGCATGCTCGTGCCCGCGCGCCCTACTAGCGCGTCCAAGCCGCAAGATGGCTTCCAGGCGCTGCGCGCGTGGCTGTCCAAGCAGAAAAAGCGGGCGCTGCGCGACGAGTCCACCTCCACCCGCCGCGGCGCGGACAAGCTGCGCCTGGGAGTGGTGAACCTCGACGCAGCGGACACGAAGAGCGCGCGCGCGCGCTTCCCCGAGGCCGTGTTCCGCGCGCTGCCGTTCTCCGCGCCTCCCGCGGATTTGAAGTGGGCGCAGCTGTTTCCCGAGTGGATCGACGAGAAGCAACCGAAGCCGTGCCCCGCACTGCCCTGGCCGCAATGGGCGGGGCCCGGCAACGGCACCGTCATGTGGCCTGATAGCGAGGTTGACAATAACGGAGCTGACAAAGAGGGTGTCGACGACGAGGAGGCGGGGCGTGGGGGAAGCGAGGGGAGCGGGGACGGCGCGGCGTGGAGCGTGCGGGAGGAGCACGAGGTGGACGCGCTGATTGTGCGCGTGCCGTGCGAGGGGCTGTCCGTGTTCAACGCGTCGTGGGCCAGAGACGTGGCGCGCCACCACCTGCTGCTGCTCGCCGCTTCCGGCCTTGCCGCCCAGGTGCGACACGGGAAAGAGGGGGATAGGGAGAGGAGGGGAGAGTCGGGCTGCGAGAGGAGAGGGCGAGATAGTGAAGGTAAGAGACGGGGGAGGTCCGGTGTCAGGAAAGAGCACTCAGCGGAGCGCAATATTGAGAGCATTAGCTGAACGGAGGGGTTTGTAAGGAACATTGCGCAGTGCTAGCGTGGGTGTGTGAGTGGGCATGGACGAGCAACAGAACAGAGAACACCAAACTCTCGTAAACTGACGTATGTTGAACATTGGATGCCTTGCGAGGATGTAATTGTTCTCTCCGGGAGAGAGGCGCTCTTCCGTCCCTCTCTGTCTCTTCCTCCTTCGCTCCTCCCCTCCTCCTTAACGCTCACTGATGAACTCGTACACGCGCATAGACTCACTCGACCACCTTTCCTGTTTCCCTCCCTCTCCCCGGTCCCCTGCGCCGTCTCCCGCCAGTCGCAAGTCACGGACTTCCCCGTGTTGCTGCTAACGCACTGCCTGCCTCCGCCCAGCATCTTCCACTGCAGCCACCTCGTCGCCTCCGTCGCCGCCTCCTGGCTCTTCGCCATCCCGCCCCCCGCCATGCGCGCGCGCCTGCGCAACGCGCCCGTCGGCACCTGCCAGCTCTACCCCACGCCGCCCCGCCTGCCCCCCGCCACTGGCACTGGTGAGCCGCTCGCGCCACCCCCGCGCGCGTTTGTATCTCTAAGCTGCGACTGCGAGAGCCTTGCGCAACATGTTTTCTAATCCCGCTCCTCGCCCGCATCCTCTTCCCCGTTCTTGCATACCTCCCCTTCACCCCGCCATTCGCGCTCCGCGCAGCTCCACAGGCGGGCACGGAGAAGAAGGCGTGGGCGACGGTGCTGCACTCGAGCGACAAGTACATCTGCGGCGCGCTCGCGCTCGCGCGGAGCCTTCGGCGCGTGGGCACGCGGCACGAGCTGGTGGCGTTCGTGTCGAAGGAGGTGTCGCAACGCGCGCAGCGCAGCCTGACTCTGGCGGGGTGGAAGGTGGTGGCGGTCGGTCGCATGCGCAGCTCGTTCAAGGCCAGTAGCAACTATTGCAAGTACAACCACAGGTGCGCGCCACGAGCGGGAAGAGCACGAGAGGTCGAAAAACAGTCGGTACAGGCAGCGAGGGTTTTGGATAGGTGGTGTAGTTATGGGAGGGTACGGAGGAGTGGGGGGCGGTGCAGGAGGTAAAGAGAGTTGGGTTGTTTCTGGAAGTTACATAAGGTATGGTTCAGGCTGTTGAGCCGCTTTCAGCTGCCATCTGCCACTCCTGTCTTCACTCCGCTCACCCCCCTCACCCCTTCAGCCTTGATGTGTCCCCTCATCCCCCTTACTCCCCAACAACCTAACCCTGTTTCCCCCTTCCTCCACGCGTGCACACGGACGTGCGTGTGCGTGTGCGGCACTCGCAGCAAGCTGCGGCTGTGGCAGATGGCGCAGTACAGCAAGCTCATCTTCCTGGACACGGACATGCTCGTGCTGCGCAACCTGGACCACCTCTTCGCCATGCCCGAGCTCACCGCCGTCTCCAACAACCAGTTCCAGTTCAACGGCGGGCTGCTCGTCGTTGACCCCTCGCCCTGCACCTTCGCCATGCTCAAGGACGCGCTCGCGCTCTTCGAGACGTACAAAGACTGCGAGCAGGTGCGTTGAGGAACGTGACGAGGAGGGTTTCGTTGGAAGGGCCTGGGGGGTGTCTGTGTGATGTGCGGATGGTGTGTGTGCTGGTGTCCGTCCCCCTCTTATCCAGGATTATTTGTCTTTGGTGTCCGTCCCCCTCTTATCCAGGATTATTTGTCTTTGGTGTCCGTCCCCCTCTTATCCAGGATTATTTGTCTTTGGTGTCCGTCCCCCTCTTATCCAGGATTATTTGTCTTTGGTGTCCGTCCCCCTCTTATCCAGGAGTATTTGTCTTTGGTGTCCGTCCCCCTCTTATCCAGGATTATTTGTCTTTGGTGTCCGTCCCCCTCTTATCCAGGATTATTTGTCTTTGGTGTCCGTCCCCCTCTTATCCAGGATTATTTGTCTTTGGTGTCCGTCCCCCTCTTATCCAGGATTATTTGTCTTTGGTGTCCGTCCCCCTCTTATCCAGGATTATTTGTCTTTGGTGTCCGTCCCCCTCTTATCCAGGATAATTTGTCTTTGGTGTCCGTCCCCCTCTTATCCAGGATTATTTGTCTTTGGTGTCCGTCCCCCTCTTATCCAGGATTATGTCTTTGGTGTCCGTCCCCCTCTTATCCAGGATTATTTGTCTTTGGTGTCCGTCCCCACTTCAGGTGCCCCTCCTTTGTTATCACTCCTCTCCCTGTCCCCTCGTCCCCCCTCCCCACTCTCTCTCACCTCCAATTTTCCCGTCAAACTCATTTTCCAATGCATTCCTTGTCCAAACGTTCACTCCCGGCCCCCTCCCAACCCCCTCATCACCACACAGGGGCTGTTGAACGAGCTGTACCCGTGGTGGCACCGCCTGCCGCAGTCCACCAACTTCCTCAAATTTGCCTGGTCCAACAAACCTGAGGACCTGGCGCAGCGCCGTGCAACTCTAGCAGCGCAGCCGCCGGTGGTGGACATGGTGCACTACCTGGGCGCCAAGCCCTGGTACTGCTACCGTGACTTTGACTGCAACCTGCTCAGCACGGAGCGCCAGTTTGCCGACGACCTTGCGTTTGACATGTGGTGGAAGGTGCACGATGAGATGAGCGAGGAGGAGCAGCAGCAGTGCTGGATGCCCACGTGGACCAAGGCTGCGCTGCGCGCTGCCATGGAGAAGATGCGGCTCCTTAAGGAGGACCCGAGGCTGTGGAATGTGACTATCGCGGATCCGAGGGACAATAAGTGCCGCGACTGGGAAGAGAAGTACTCGTGCGACTGGCGGGCGATGCAGTCTGTGCTGGATGAGCCGAAGCACTTCCGCTTCTAGGCACACTGCAAGTATTCGGCGATCCTAAGCTTGGTGGGTGTCTCCCACTTAGGTACAGCAGGTAGCAGACTGCAAGGGGAAATGATGTACTGAAACATTGTGTGATGTGTAAATTTGTACCGGTAGGCTTCTGTGTCAAATTACATTTGTATGTGTAGGCTGTAGTGGGATAGCCTCTAGTGAGTACAACACTTTAGGTCAAACCTAGTACTTGTACTCATCCTTGCTTGCTAATCATTCATTCCGTCATTCACTTTCTAACATGGTTTCAGAGTAGGTCGATCCTTAGGACCGATTTTTTTTTTTAGGGCCCACCGTTCGTTCTGCCCGTTCATTTCTGCCGTGCCCTAGCGATCGCAACCCGGCTGCCCGTTAGGAACGCCCGCCCCCCCCACACGCGATCGCCCTGCCCGCGCGCCTGCCTGAGCGTCGCCCTGCCCACGCGCGCTTTGCCTGCAGCTGCGCCGCCCTGCCCGCGCGCTTTGCACGCGCACCCTGCTGCCCACCTGCCCGCGCTGCCCGCACGCGCTTTGCCGGCCCCGCCCGTGCGTTTTGCCCACCCACGCGCTGCCCTGCCCCGCAAACGAGCTGCCCGCCAGCAGCCTGCGCCCGGCCTGCACCTTGCCAGCGCGCACCCCACGCGCACCCTGCCTGCTCCCTGCCCGTCCGCGCTGCTGCGCGCTGCTGCTGCTGTCACTTCTGCAGCTGCTACTGCTGCAAGCACTGCTGCTGCTGCTATGCGCTGCTGCTGCTGCTGCTAAGCGCGCTGCTGCCACTGCTGCTACTGCACGCGCTGCTGCGCTGTGCCGTGCCCGAGCCGCGCCGCCCTGCCCGAGCCGCGCTGCCCAGGGCTATTTTTTTTTTTTCAGCAACCCTTGTGATCAGTGTTGCACAAGTCCAAAAACCTGATTATCAGTGTGACACCTTGTTCAAACCCTGATCCATCAGGGTTTTCCTAGCCTTTGAAAATTATACCCTGTAGGATCAGTGTACCAGTTTTGCAAACCCTGGTGTATTGATATTATCGTTGGCAGGCAATAACGAAACTGTATTTCTGGCTAATGGAGGCCCCCCTCGTGCCAGCTCAGATATTGCCTTTGCCAAATTTCAGTTTCGACAGTTGGCACGCGAGAACCTCCGGTTACGGGAAAGGGGGGGTGGGGTAGAGGAGGGGGGGGGGGCTTGGGGAGGGTATGTACTCGATTCAGGGTAAAACTCGTTACGAAGATCGGTAACCCTGGGCCGTCAGTGTACCTTAAACGTAAACCCTGGCCTATCAGGAAAATACAAGCTCCTGAAAAAATTACCCTAAGGCATCAGTGTGACAGCCAAAAACCACCCTGATTATCAGGGTATCATGGTGATTTACCCTGATAAAATTAGCCCTGGCGCTGCCTTGCCCGAGCCGCGCTGTGCCCTGCCCTTGCTTAGCCGCACTGCCCTGCTGCTGCTGCTGCTGAGCGCTGCTGCTGCTGCCACTGCCACTACTGCTGCTATGTCTACTCCTACTTTGCTCACCTTTGATGCCGAGGGGCACCCGATCGAGTTTGAGAACTGGCTCGAGGACTTAGAGTGGTTCCTTAAGACCAGAAAGTCCTATTGAGACCACAGACCAGAAAGTTCGGGACTGTCGCTAGCCCTATTGAGTCCACAGACCAGAAAGTTCGTTCTCAGTGGACCGCTCGTGACGCCAGTGCAGCCCTTGCTGTCCGAAACCACATTCTGCCCAACCAGCGCTCTCATTTTCGCCAGCTTAAGACGGCCAAAGCTGATCACGAACAGCACGAAGCGTGTCAGGGAGGCGAGTCGTGAGAAAGTAGAGGGTGCGATACATGGGGGGCTTGTTCTCAGCCAGAAAGTCGGCATCTAGAGCAGCACGGTAACGGGTGTCAAGAGAGCGCAGGTGCGTGATGAAATCGGCTACAGTGGTGAAGTCTGCGAGCTCAGGAAAGAGGAACTGTAGTGCAAGGCGGCCTATCATGGCAGAAGACGGGGAGGAATAGTGTTTGACTACAGCGTCGTCCATAGACTCGTTTGAGAAACGCCTCTTAGAGGCTGTGTCTGCTGCCCTAGCTGTAGATGCCTCCCGTGGCACTCCCCTCCCCTCCGTCTTCGAGGGGTGCTCCCCCTCCCTACTCGTGTCCTCTGTTGCCTCTGCTGCTGCTGTCGACCTCCTTGGTGTTGAGGAGGTTGGTGATGCGTCTGCTCCTGCTGGGAGGCGCAAGAGCGGCAAGGGCAAGGGGGGCAAGGGTGGTGGGGGAGGTGGGGGTGGTGGTGGTAGTGGCGGGGGCGGTCGTGGTGGAGGTGGTGGGGGAGGAGGGGGCGGTGGCGGCATTGGAGGTGGAGGGGGTGGTGGGAGCAGTTGGGGTGGTGGAGGGGGCGGGGGTGGCACTCGAGGTGGAACTGGAGGGGGTGGAGATGGAGGCTCGACTACGCGCACTGCTACGTCTGGTGGTGCAGCCGGTGGTGGAGGCGGCTCTGGGGGTGGACAGCTGCAGCTCACGCCGCAGCAGCTTTGTGAGTGGGCAGTCGGGCGTGGCAGCTCGGGTGGCCCAGCTCGCTGTGGGTACATCCGTCGCACAGGTCAGCCTGGCGCGGCTTGCATTCGCACTGATCACACGGAGTCTCGTTGCTTCTTTCGCATCGACGATCTGTATCGTGCGGAGCATGGTGAGCACGTGGTGAAGACTCCAGACTGGTTAGCTTTGCTGAAGAATGACATAGATGTCTTTGCTTGTGATTGGGACGTGATCCATGTTGGCATGTATGGGATGTATGCTGCTTCTGCTAGTGTTGAGGGGGACTGTTACTCGTATGTGCCCAGAGTTGCTAGGGTAGAGGCTGCTAGTTTTGGTGCTTTTGACTCAGCTAGCGCAGGTGCAGAGCCTGAGGAGGCCTTGCACACATTTACTCTCGACTCAGGAGCGTCTCGTTGCTTCTTCCGCCACAGCACCACAGTAAAACCGCTTACAACCCCTGTCCCTGTCACACTGGCCAACCCCTCCGGGGGCCCGGTAGTCGCGCGTGGCGCCACTGTTCTCCCTTGTCCGGCGGCGCCTTCAGGCCTCCTCACAGGTCTCCACCTCCCCTCGTTCCCTAAGAACTTGGTGGCTACCTCTGTCCTCCAGGACCAGTGGGTCACTGCCCAGCCTGGAGGCGAGCAAGTGACGATCTGTACGGACTCGCGCACTGGTGAGCACCTCGCCACGTTCACTCGGAGGCCTGGGTCTCGCCTGTACACACTGACCACTGAGTCTGCACTAGTAGCTGAGTCAGGTCAGGTAGCTGCATCGGTTGAGGTCGATGCGGCTTGCTCGTGTCATCTCCTCACGCACCAGACTCTCCTCTGGCACCACCGTCTTGGCCACCCCTCCTTGCCACGCCTTCGTGGCATGCACTCCCGTCTCCTTGTCTCTGGGCTTCCCAGGTCCCTGCCCCCGCTCCCGAGGTCGCTTGCGCCGCCGTGCCTTCCCTGGGTCGAGGGGCGGCAGCGCGCCGCTCCTCACTCCTCCTGGCTGGCTGACCTACCTGCTGACCGACTTGGGTGAGCGGCCTCGTTCTCCTCCAATTCTGTACGTCAACAACAAGGCCATGATTGCCTTGTGTCAGGACCAGAGACTGGAGCACAGAACGAAGCACATTGCTCTCCGTTACTTCCTCACGCGAGAGCTGCATCAGCGTGGTCAGCTTTGTCTTGCTTACGTGGCCACACGGGCCAACACTGCTGATGTCTTCACCAAGTCCCTTGGGTCTAGTGATCATAAGCGTTTCTGCACTGCTCTTGGGCTTATGCCCACTCTGCCTCACTTGCTTGTCTCTTGATCTTGCTCTGTACTTTGATAGATAAACCTGCATGTTTCTGGTTGCTAGGTTTTAATCATTGTACTGCTTGTGTTATTATCAACCTGCATGTGAACTGGCCTTGTGGCCGCTTGCTTGTGCTCGGAGTGTGTGGTGTCCTTGAGATCCACCCTGAGCTTTGCTTTGCTTTGTTCTCTTGCTTGACTGGTCTTGTGACCGTTCATTGTGTTTGCTATCCCCCACTTTGCCTATGGGGGTGTGTCAAATTACATTTGTATGTGTAGGCTGTAGTGGGATAGCCTGTAGTGAGCACAACACTTTAAGTCAAACCTAGTACTTGTACTCATCCTTGCTTGCTAATCATTCATTCTGTCATTCACATTCTAACATTCTGGTCTTACGGTCCATTAGTTATTGTACTGGTTTTGTCTACCAAACACCAATTTCTAGACCGACCCATGTCCATAGGTTTTTGTACCTTTGCCAAGCGATCGAGTAGGTGAGCCCCCAGTACGTAACGGGAGTGGAAGGAAGGTGGGGAGGAGGAAGAAGCTGCACGCAGTAGTGATGCTGAACCTGGAATGGATGAAGACAACCATGCCCCTCAAGACTTCGCAGCCAGGGCTGTTTTTATCAGACTAAATACCGTCTGATTAGTCAGAGGTTTCAGACACGGGCAGAGCCCCTTATTTTCCAGAAGAATACCACACTGTCAATTGTTATATTAGTTCCTTTGCTACAGTGAGTAGCACTCTAGGGAGTACACTGTACAACCCTTTTAGGGTTGGTATTTGTATGCCTTGTTCCTACCTAGTCACACACCATTCCGCTTTTTCTACTTTGAGATGGTATCAGAGAGTTAGCTTTCCTAGGTAGGACCCTAGCTTAGCTCGTCGCCCGACTTAGCTTCGTTCGCCCGACTTCCTAGCTACCCATCCCGTCCCGTCCAGCTGCCTGCCCCGTCCCCGTCTCGCACACTACCCTTCCCCGCGCACAGCCTCCCGCACGCGCAACCGCGCAGATGCAGCCGCGCACAGCCGCCCACGCGCAGCCGCACGCTCGCAGCCACGCACGCACAGCAGCATGCACGCAGCCGCGCACAGCCGCGCACGCGCAACCGCACGCCAGCAGCCACCGGGCAGAGCAGCACACGCGCAGTCGCGAGCACAGCCGCACGTGTGCGGCCGTGCACGCACAGCCGCACTCACAGCCGCGTGCACAGCCACGCGCACAGCAGCGCACGAGCAGCTGCCCACACAGACAGCCGCGTGCACAGCAGCGTGCCCGCAGCCGCACACGCGCAGCTGCACGCACACCAGCAGCCGCCCGCGCAGCAGCAGCCGCACGCGCAACTGCAACCGCGCACGCACCTTCGGTCGCCCGGACCTCTGCCCGCCGCACACGCAGCGCCAGCGGCACCCACCATCCCACCCGTGCCTGCTGTCCTTCCCATGTCTACTGCCATAGCCGTTCCCCGCAGCGGCTGGCAGCCGCAGTCGAGTCTCCTGACGCGGCTTAGGTTTCACTCCTTGTTGTGACTGGCATTTCTAGACTAACCCTCAGGCTTCGTTCGTTATTCGCTTCGGCTGATCCTGGACTAGCCTCTCTGTCTTTGTTCGCTACTCGCTCCGGCCGTTCCTAGACTAGCCGTTCTGGCTCCGTCCGCTCTTCGTTCGCTTCTAGCTCCGGCCGTTCCTAGCCTTTCGCTCCTAGTCCAGTAGAGCACTCACCATGGCGTCCTCTCGGGTCCTGCGTTTCGATGCGGAGGGTAGAGCACTAGATTTCCCCACTTGGCTCCTACACGCCGAGTTGTACATCCAGAGCCAGCGCCAAGATGGTGATACGTGCTGGGCGCACGCCTCTGGTGACATGCCTTCACCTAAGCGCTCTGCTGACCTGCCTGCTAATCCTACTGGTGCAGACCGGGAGCGCTTTGCTCAGGCCCGTGCATCTCTGTTGGTGTGGCAGTCTTGGGACGCTGCAGCTCGTATTGCTCTCAGCAGCCTTCTACCCGAGACTGAGGGAGCCCACTTTAGCCAGGTTCGTTATGCCAAGGATTGTTTTGATGCAAAAAGTCTCGTTACTCCACTCCCTCCTCCGCCTCTCTTGGTCGCCTCCTCATGCCGTTTCTGTTTCCTGACCTTGGAGCATTCGACTGTTTTGCTGACCTTGTCACCCACCTGCGCTCGTGCGACGCTAGCTACCGTGCTGCTTGTACCAAGGCTGAGCTTGCAGCCGCCCCCCCCGCCCATGCACATCACACTTCACTTTATAGTCACTAGCCTCCCTGACCGCCTTGCACCTACACGCGACGCGCTTCTTCGAAAGCACCCTATTACGCTCACTATCGACATCCTCGAGACAGCTCTCAAGGATATCGAGAGCAACATCCGCTCCGTTGGCTCCGCTACTACCGCAATAGTTTCCCTGCTCTTTCAGGGGTGTACTGTCCCACAGCTCCCCACCTTCATGGCTTCTCTTGCGTCTACTTCGTCTTCTACTTCTAACAAGACTGCAGCCGTTTCCACCGCTAGTGGGCGGACTAGAGGCAGGGGAGGTAAGAAATGGGGGAAGGGTGGTGGCAGCGGTGGTGGTGGAGTGGGTGGCGGAGGTCGTGGCGGTCCTAGTGCGTTCAATGGAGGCAGCACTGGAGGTGGTACTGGGCCCGCGGGCCCGACGGGAGGGGGTGCTAGACCAGCTGGTTGGTACACAGCACAGCAGTGGAAGGAGTCCCAGCAGCAGCAGCCACAGCAGGGACAGCAGCAGCAGCAGGGACAGCAACAGCAGCAGGTACAGCGGCAGGTGCAGCAGCAGTTCCAGCAGTGGGCACCTGGTGGAACAGGGAGCGCTGGACGCAACAGTGGCTCATCCAGCTGGACCTCGCGTGGTGTCGCCCGTACTCCCTGCCCGTACCTTGTTCAGACTGGGACACGTCAGGGTGGCCCCTGTGGCCGTCTTCACCCTCCAAGTAACTGCTTTGCGTAGCTCACGGACCGCCTCCGCGCGCAGTACTCCAGCAGTGGGCACCTGGTGGAACAGGGAGCGCTGGACGCAACAGTGGCTCATCCAGCTGGACCTCGCGTGGTGTCGCCCCTACTCCCTGCCCGTACCTTGTTCAGACTGGGACACGTCAGGGTGGCCCCTGTGGCCGTCTTCACCCTCCAAGTAACTGCTTTGCGCAGCTCACGGACCACCTCCGCGCGCATTACGGCTTTGGCCACGCTCCACACTGGGCCCCGCTGGCTCGCTCCCTTGGTCTTGCGTTGTTTGACATGTATGCGGTAGAGTTGCTTGATGCCCTGCGTTCTGCTTTTGTGATGTAATGCCGATGTTGACTATAGTGCTGCTAGATCTATTTGATCGCGTGTTCGTAGCCTAGGATCCTTGCCTGTTGCTAGTGTAGGTGCTTGTGCTTCCAGTCCAGGTGCTTGTGTAGTTACTAGCCCAGGTGTACCTACGGCTGACGCGTCGCTCTCCTTCACGCTAGACTCTGGCGCATCTCAGTGCTTCTTCCGCTTCCTGCTCTGGTTCTGGTTGCCCTGACCAATCCTACTTCAGGACCAGCAGTTGCCCGCAGCTCTACCACCCTCCTGTGCCAGACTGCCCCCTCTGGTGTCCTCACTGGTCTCCACATCCCCTCTTTCTCCAGGAACTTGGTGGGTGTTGGACCCCTTCAAGACCTCGGTGTTGGCACTTGGTTTCCTCCGCACGAGCGTTTTGCGACTTGCACGGACGGTCCCACAGGGGCACCTCTGGCCACACTTCGCCGCGAGCCCTGCTCAGGTCTCTTCACACTGCACACCACGTCTCCCCAGGAAGCTGCGTTTGATCAGGTTGCTGCGCCGTGCTCCGGTGGGGCGCTCACCCACCCGACGGTCCTGTGGCACCACTGTCTTGGTCACCGGTCTAACCGTCGTCTTGTCTTAGGTCTTCCGCCCTCGTTTCAGTCGCTCCCTCTGTCACTAGCACCGCCGTGCGCTCCTTGCGACGAGGGTCGACTGCACGCCGCCCCTCACTCCTCCTCCCTTCGCCCGACCACCGCGCCCTTCTAGACTCTCCAATTGGAAGTCTGGGGCCCCACCCCTCGCCCTGGGCCTGAGGGGGAGAGCCTTTTCCTAGAGGTCGTTGACGACTTCTCTCGCTACACCACGGTGTCCCCCCTGCAAAAGAAGTCTGACGTAACTTCTACCCTGGTTCTGTGGTTGCTGGCCACTATTGCCACGCGTGGTAGTCGTGTCCTTTGTCTCTACTCTGACCATGGGGGTGAGTTTCGCTCCTGCGTGCTTGCCGGGTTCTGTCGCGAGTAGGGCATCACTCAGTCTTGGATGCTTCCAGAGTCCCCACAGCAGAATGAGGTTGGTGAGAGCCGCATAGGCTTGGTCATGGAGATCGCCCACACCTCCATCATCCATGCCTGTGCGCCCCATTTTCTGTGGCCCTACGCGGTTCGCTATGCCATCCACTAGCTGAACCTCTGGCCGTGTGTCTCTTGCCCGAAAGGTCTCACCGACCTGTCTCTGGACTGGGTCCCCTGGTGTCGCGTCGGGTTTACGTGTCTGGGGCTGCCTTGCGGGTGTCCGCAATACCTCTGCGGACAAGCTCTCGGCTCGCACCCTCCCCTGTGTCTTCCTTGGTTTCCTGGTGGACTCCCCTGACTACTCGTTTTACCACCCGCCCCTCCACTGATTCCTCGACTCCCGTGACGTCTCTTTTGACGAGTCTGTGTCCTACTTTGCTCGCTACCCCCACTGAGGTCTCCCGGTCCTTCCCCCTTCCCTCTTTCTAGCTCCCACTCCTCCTCCTGGTCCTGCTCCTCCGGTACACCCCCCCCCCCACCCAGGTCCTGCGCAGGGCTGTCGATTGGTTCTAGGCCAACACTTGAGTGGCTGAGGTCCCCTGTTTCCAGCCCTGAAAATTCCGGGAAGCGTCTCTTTCCAACCCTTAAGCGTCCGAGAAAGGCCCCATCTTACCACTTGAATTCAGGGCAACACTTTAACGTTCAGGGCACGATTTTCCCTTGACATTCACAAATGCACGCTACTCTAATAGTGGAAGCCGTAATTGTCTCAAATTGCCTAACTACCTTCCATCAAGATTGAAGTGGCAGGCTTGCGGCTCTGACAAGGGGTGGGGACAGGGGAGCGTTAAGAGGAAAGGAGGTGGAGAGTGGGGCGGGGCTCCGGGAAAGGCCCAAAACTTGTACAGCGAATCAGGGCAAGCCCCCAAGTGCGCCCTTTAAGAATCAGGGGAAGGCCCTGACGACGCCATTTAGAATTCAGGGCTGTACTGAAAAGCAACCCTTTAAATTCGGACCCTGGAGCGATGTCAACCCTTAATGCTCAGGGCATTAAGGGCAAATGGCCTTGAATCATCAGCCCTGGTCCTGCGCCATCAGTTGTGTCTCACGCTACCCCTCTCCCCTCAGTAGCACGTCAGGTGTCGTCTCCTTCCCCACGGTCGTCTTCACATTCACAGCAGCAGCCTTTGGCACTACCGCGAGATGTTGCAGAGGACTCTGGGGGTGTTGGTGCTGGAAGCACGGGCGCTGGAGGTGCTGGTTCTGAGGGTGCTGGAGCGGGGGGTGCTGGCACTGGAGGTGCTAGTTCTGGGGGTGCTGGAGCTGGAGGTGCTGGCACTGGAGGTGCTAGTTCTGGGGGTGATGGAGCTAGAGGTGCTGGCACTGAAAGTGAGTGTTATGGGGGTGCTGGAGCTGGAGGCACTGCCTCTGCGGCGCCTGCTTAGCCTCCCCACCGCTACCCGACACGTCACCACGCTCTCCGTAGGCTGTAGCGCGAGGAGCAGGAGAGGCTGGAGCCGGAGCAGCAGCAGCAGGAGCTGCAGCAGCAGCACCAGCAGCTACAGCAACAGCAGCAGCAGCAGCAGCAGCCGCAGACGCCACAGCCGCCACTTTTGCAGCAATTGTTCCCACCTGTGAGTGGCCTTCGGGCCCTTGGTCTTCTTCCTCTCCTCCGGACCGCTCACCGCCTCCTACTGCACACGGCCTTCCTCCTCCGGAATCGTCTCCGGCCGGGTTTTCTCCTCCTCAGTCACAGCCGCCTCCTCCTGTTGTCCCGCACACTTGGACAACTCGTACTCCCCTAGGTGCTCGTGCCTCGTCTCCTTTTAGCGACCTCCACTCTGTCTTGTTTTGTTCTAGTCCTCCTTGTTCTCCGCCTCAGTCTTTTCACCCATCACCTCCTGCGTCATCTCTTACAGCCTCCTCTCACCCTATCACTCACTACGACCGTACTGCTCGTCCTGTTGCCTCATGTGTTCTCGCCTCTCTTGTCACGGACACTACTGCCTCTCCGTCGTCTATCTCGTCTCTTGTTGCCGCTGTCACTGACTTTGCCGCCACACGCCACCTTGATTACGCCACCCACGTGGTGGCTGCCCGTCCTCTGTCCACCGGGGGTGAGTCTGCCCTTGGCTATGACGTCCTAGAGGACAGGTACTTTGAGCTAGAGTTCTTGGCAGCCGCTTCTCCCCATCTCTGTGCCATGTTGCTAGCCCGTGAGG